TTTTGTTCCAGTGCTGGCAACATGCCTTTAAGAAAGAAAGAAAGAGTAGATGAAAAGTGCTCTGCTGAGAGAAATTAATACCATTAGTGTCCTTTTGCTTTCTCTCTCACTTCCCCAACGATCACCAATAACCCTTTAAATGACGAAGACAACTTGACACAAATTTAATAAATTACTTTTCTTCTTCTGGCACAGGAAATATTCATTGTGAAACTGTCAATATTTGTATATAAAAAAACCCAAGCACATTTCCTTACTTCAGACAGTTACTGCCATTGCTTACCTTGCCTTTCTTTTTAGAGGAAGATGGTAGGAAGGAGGTCATCCTCAGTGCTGTGACAAAATTGCATGAATAGTGAATGAATAATGAAATGATTAATGAAACAATTCCCTTGAAGTAGGAAGTTGAGAGAGCCAGCTTTTGGCCACCCATTTTGTCACAATGGCAAAGGAAAAAAATGTACAGATTAGAGCAGAAAAACTCCACGCTGATTCAGATTTTTTTATACGTTGTGTGATCAATGGAAAATAATATGAATCTGACCATCCGAATCCGGGATTGTTTCCTGTATATGGTCAATGTAGTCACCTCGTGAGTGAATTCTGTTTCAGCAAATTCACTTCTTTCTTCCATTACTGAAAGTCTCCATTAAAGGTAAAGGTAAAGGTTCCCCTTGACAGTTTTTGTCCAGTCGTGTCCGACTCTAGGGGGCGGCACTCATCCCGCTCTTCAAACCATAGAGCCAGCGTTTGTCCGAAGACAATCTTTCCGTGGTCACATGGCCAGTGTGATTTAGACACGATTAGAGCAACTCCAGGCTGATTCAGATTTTTTTGTACGTTGTGTGATCAATGGAAAATAATATCAGTCTGACCATCCGAATCAGGGATTGTTTCCTGTAAATGGTCAATGTAGTCACCTCGTGAGTGAATTCTGTTTCAGCAAATTCACTTCTTTCTTCCATTACTGAAAGTCTCCATTAAAGGTAAAGGTAAAGGTTCCCCTTGACAGTTTTTGTCCAGTCGTGTCCGACTCTAGGGGGCGGCACTCATCCCGCTCTTCAAACCATAGAGCCAGCGTTTGTCCGAAGACAATCTTTCCGTGGTCACATGGCCAGTGTGATTTAGACACGGAACGCTGTTTACCTTCCCACCGAGGTGGTCCCTATTTATCTACTCGCATTTGCATGCTTTCGAACCGCTAGGTTGGCGGGAGCTGGGACAAGCGACGCGTGCTCATTCCATTGCGTGGATTCAATCTTACGACTGCCGGATCTTCTGACCCTGCAGCACAGGCTTCTGCGGTTTAGCCCACAGCGCCACCACGTCCCAAAGTCTCCATTACTATTTTTAAAATTAGAATTAGATATCTCTGTTGGAAGAATTTAGGAGCAAACAGCACACATTGAAAGAAACATAATTTTAACTGAGGCCATTCATTCAAGCCACAACAAGTATAGATGTTTCATGTTCCAAATTCTTCTTTCAGCTTGTTAATTTGTGGGTGAAAGTTTCTTTTTTCTTAGCTGCTTTAAATCTTTTTGAGTTTTTTACAGCTTAAAGTTACAGTAATTTAGTGCTTAGAGTTCTTCCAGTGGAATATTAAGACTCATGAATTTGAATTTCTGGCAGTTAATCTTCAACCACACTATCTTTTCATATCCTACTAAAAAGAACCTGAGTAGCTTCATTAGGATTGGATGTCCTAAGTTGTATATCAACTGCACACAATACTGCTTTCTATATTCCCTAGTAAAGACCATATTCAGTCTGCCACAGAATATAGGGAACTTGACTACCGTACTTTTCTCTCAGTAAGTAAAATGTGCCAGAATGTTTTGTATTAGTTTGAACAACAGTATTCTGAGTTTTTGCAATCTTGCATGCTGTCTTTAGCAGGTTTGGCTGGGGGGGACCTTTCTGGAGTGTGGTGACTGTCAATCTATCCACTGCTAACCAATAGTTCTCGCCTGCCTCTGCTTTCAAAGAAAATCCTGCCTCTCTGCTTTTTCCCTCCCTAGATTCTGTTGAAGTCTGTTGCTGAAGGCCATCTAATCTGTTCATTGTAAGTAAATGGACTGTTTTTATTCTTTCTTCTTACAAATGTCTCAGAGTGAGTTGGTGAGACTGTAAGTGCCAGTTAATGAGAGAGGGGTGGATTAATCTGGGGAACTTGAGCCTATTCTGCTCTGTGAATCCCTGCAGTTCTGCTGTGCAGCTAAAGAAATTTAACCAAAAATTCAAAACTCTGCAACAGACAGCACAGTGGGATCTCTGAGAACAGGCAGCACAAGGGCAGCTGAGCCAGCACAAGAGGCTCCTGTCCATTCTATACTGAGTACAGCTGGCACAACTTTGTCTTAGAATTGCACTGTTAAAGGATTTCGTGGCAGCTTTACAACCAAAATATTTCAGATCTTGTCATGATATATTGCATTGATATATGAGTTCTTTGTCTGCCCCGGCATAAAACCTATTTAATAGGTTGGAGATACTGTATTACAAAGCTATTTACTATATGTGCAAGAATGTGTTTGAAAATCCAGATACTGAGAGGAGCAAAGTGCAGCCCTGGGATTGCATGCATTCTCCAAGCCTGTTTCTGTAACCCCCAAGCGATCCTTTTGGCACTCCTTTCTCCAGTAAAAGAGCACAACAAATAAAAGAAAAATGGTGGCTCTGGGAAGCTTTCATGAGTAGTGATTCACATAGGTCCTGCCTAATGCCCTAATAAACTCTTTTACCCAAACTCTAAATGGAATTCTAGCCACTTATGGTTCCATTTTTCTTATGTTTCCTGGAATTTCTGGTGTCCTTTGTGGGCTCTACATTCTCCAGAGTTGCCCACTCCTGCCATAGTCTCTTGGTCCTGCAGCACTTCAAGAGCGAAAGAGCTCATAATAGCGTGGATGCTCCCAGGTTTAGAAATGGCAATGAATGGAATCTGCTCCCATGATTCTACTAGTCTCCTGCCATCTAGCTTTATGCTAAATGATTGTTTCATACATCTTATCAGAGTGTCATGGAATGGTTCATAAAATTATGCTGCAAAACCATTGAGTCCCTCCACCATTTTTAATTTTTCTGTTACTGCTGGTATGTCCTCTTATTGACATAAGTTGAGGATCTCCTAATGATTTCATAGTTGTTGGGGTTTTTTCTCCATTGTGTTTGGATTGGTAGCTGAGAATAATTGCTCATAAAAGCCTTTGAAAGCTTTTATTCGATGAGTCCAATACTCTGTATAATGATTAGGAAACATTTATTAATAATAATTACATGACATTAAGTCAATGATGACTTATGGTCACCATTTCAAGCCAGGTACCTGACTCATTCAGCTCTCTATAATCCACACATTTTCTCAAGGCTCTTGCAAGGAGTTTAAAACTCTTGTTGCCAAACTCTTGATACTGTAAGATAAGCTCTTGATATACCATGGATGTTTGGACATTGTCAGTTCCAGCAGCTTGAAGCTCACTCTTTGTCCCCAGTTATTCTCCATTTTTCTATTTCCTGTTTGCTTGTGACTTTTGTCCTAATTTGGAAACCCTTTCTTTTTAGTTCTGCCATGTGTGACTTCATTGGAAGACTGACATTCAAGGGTGATGAATCCTGCTAGGTTGTATCAGCTAATGCAACTACTAAACTGGCAGGAACAGGCTCTGACAACATCGTATTGTCTAGTTCAGTCTCTGTGACCTTTAATAATAGCTCATGCAACATTAATACATAGGGTATATTTTAAACCTGGCACGGAGAATGTGAAATTTTCCTTCTTATTCTCAGATATTCTCTACATCTAACAGACTCTGATTTAAATAAAGCAAGGATTTATTTAGAAATGGTATTTGATTCTACTGCATTTGCACTTGTACATAACAGTTGCTGGGTTAGACTGCCTTTACCTCTCTTTTTACTGGGCCAGTTCAAAGTCACTGAATGCCTACAGAGATGGTAACAAAAATGTTAACTAAATAAATTGTTGGGTGCTGAAGCCATTCAATTGACCATTTATGAATATGTTGCCTATCATTTTGGTCTCCTGACACCTTCGCCTCTCCAAACCAATTTTGATTCTGAAACATTGTCTTTAAATCTATAGATTTCCCCCTCTTTCTCCCAATTCTTTAATCGTTTACCATTTTCTACCTAACACATTTATTGGATTTTACAACTGAACTTAAAGATGAAATATTAGAAACCAGTGAACATGGGAATCTAGTCCATAAATCTGCTGCTTTGAAAGGGGGGGTGAGGATGGAGTGGAACTGCTTCTCTTGCTGGCAAGCAGGGAGTGTGTCCACTCCAAGGGCTGTGGTTATGCAGAAAGCTGTGCATATGTATTAATACTTGCACTTGTGTTCTCATTGGCAGTAGGCCCCAGGCATGGCAAGCGACTAGCGCTCCAGGACCGAGCTACTGAAGTATGTCAACTAGGAGCTGGTGCAGGTAATTTCCCCACAGAGAAACCAATTTAGAGTAAGTGGGTAAGAAGAAAGAACTTCAGGAGAAGGGAAAACAAAACCTGCTTCCCCTTTGGCTGCTGGGAGCTTGGCATTGGAAGGGTTGGGTCACCCACTACTTCACATTGCTACCTCCAAGTGAGCATTGCTATTATTTTCTGAAATATCATCCAGCCTATCTCTTTCGCTGACATATTTATATCTATCCCTCAATTTATTTTGCCTTTCAGATCAGATGAACCCAACCCTGCTGTGCATCAAACTGTCGAAAGAAAACAAGTGGCCCTGTTTCAGCTACAGTTCTGCCAGCACTCACCTGTTGAGCTTGCTATTAGAATGAACAATGAGCTTGCCTAGAAGTTTTCATGGAATTTACACTCTTAATGCTTGGGAGTGCCTATCAGCTAGTCCTTTTATGGTCTTCCTATCTGATGAACATCAATTTCCCTGAGGGCTTTTTGGGGGGTAGCAAAATATATATATTGATATCAGTGGGGCTTGGGTTTGTAATCCCCCTTTTTTCCATTTCTTGAAATGTAAATCCAGACTCTGTTCAGAATGGTAGTATTCCACAGTTTGAAGCATAATAATATGTAACTTGTCGGAGTTGCACAGCTTGGATAAATCTATATTTAAAATAAAAAAGATATTTTAACAGTTACTTTGTTAAGATTGTCAGTGGTGCCTTAAAATAGCATGAAATCAGGCAAAACAAGTAGTCTCTACTGTCTTGATTTTCTTCTTTGCAAAGACAAAGCAAAATAGAAACCTTGCTGTCTTAAGACATTGTGCTGCCAGAGGAAAAGAATTAGAGATGGCGCTTCTTCCTCTGTATCTTCATTTTTGATGTGTTGGAGACCATTAATAGTCCTGTCAGTGACTTTGTCTAATCCCCCTTTGGAAACCAGCAGTAGGACTCCTCATATTGTTTATTTATTATAAATTGATAAGCGAAGATAGCAGGCAAGCCTAGGGATATGATCACATGGGGAACAGACTGCATTTTGGACCACTTACGGAGTGAGCCAGTGTAATCTATTTACCAATGACTATACAGTGTACAGGGAAATTCACTCCAGCCTGACCTTGATCTGTGTCCAACTGTACAGGGAAATTCACTCCAGCCTGTAGGGCTGTTACTTTTTGGGTCTGGGCTAAAGTGCTTCCCCAGCAGATGGAAAGCTCACTTTAAGAGAGATTGCTTCCTGCAAAGTGACCTTTTTGGTGCAACTGGGATGCAAGTAGATGGTGGAGTTTGGAGTGATCCATGTCATGAGGCTCATCTTTGTATGATCTATTTTATCTCACACTTGAGTGATCTTTGCATACACATGGGAATAATTCCTTCTCCCGCAAGAAGGATCCAGACAGCACTTCAGATTCATCTTCTGTCTTCAGTATGCTGTTTCCCCTTTCTCTTTCTTTGATCCTGATCAGATAGTGCACTATTGGTCTTTCAGCGTTCCTAATCTAAACTTAAATTTCTCTTTGATTTATTGGATCTTCTGGGAGACATCTCTTGTTTTCCCCCCTTTCTTGTTCTCCTCTATTTCTTTGCACTGGCCATTTAAATAGTTGTCTTTGTCTCTATGTGATAGCCACTGAATAGCATTCAGGGTTCTGACCCTATTTCTGTCACCTTTTATTTTTGCTTGTTGACTGTCCTTTATAATTTAAGTTTTCTTCCTTCATTCAGCTAGGCATTTCTTTTCTTCTTACTGCAGGAATTGGCTCTTTGCATTCCTTTAGTTTTACCACGGCATTTCGATAGATTTATATTTTAGTTGGTCATTTCAAACCAAGCAGTCAGTTTCAGTTTCATCATATATTATTCAAGTAGAGTGTCTGTTAAACTTCCCGACAAATGTGAAAAAAACAAAAACTCACCTTTGAATTATTTAATAACTATTCCTGATATTTCTTGTAGAGTTTGAACATTAATGCAATATGTTTGCCTGGGAACTGCCTTTTACACAGAGATCACCAAGACATTTTGCTGCCTAAGTAGACAAGGCTGGCGAATCTGACATCACAAGGTGGTGAATCTGCTCTGGATTTTATTACGAACTGTAAAGAAGTTCTCCAAGGTGCTTCCCTATTTTGGAGATAGTGTTTGGCATTTTGGATAGCTCCGGTGAAGTTTGGGTTAAAACCTTGATCAGATTCACCACTCCCACAACATCAGAGTCACCAGCCTTTACTGTACCTAAGGTTACCCTTCCCATACCCAGACTGGCATTTGAATCTGACAATGGAACAGCATCCTCCAGTGTACCTGGGGAAAGCGGTATAGTTAAACTGATGCAACACTAGTCACATGGCACATACAGATCTTCTTCTCCAGTGTCTCAACGTGTCTCCCTACCTCCCAGCATCTAGTCTGTTAGCAATACCATCACTTTGCCAAATGGTAAGACCAGCCTGCTTCTTAAGATTGTTGTTGCTATATATGAGTGTGTACGTGCAGACTAGAGCGGTATGGTATGCTGTGTCATTATACAGCAATAGGAATATTGTTTTTCTTGGCTGCTCATTGTCATGCCAAGCACAGGCTGGGAAAAGCACTTAATGTCTTAGAAATGAATAATCAGTGACTGTACAAATAAATTATAAAGTATAGTCAGTACTGACTTATGATCAATGACAGAAAATTAGATATTACAGTTCAGTTCCATTCTCTGTAAGCTGGAAAAGTTTTTACTGAGGTCAGTGAATTTGATGATAGCAGCCGCCACAAGGTTATGTTAATGGAAAGCTAAAGTCATTTCTCTGCATCCTGAACTTATTTTTGTGAGGCAGCTACAGACTATTATTGTTGCTTTATTATAACTACTAGTCCAAAACAGTTGTCTGTTCTTTACTCCTTTAAAAGGCAACTCTCTGTTGATTGGTGAGGTATTTGTGGAGAAGCAACACAACATACTGTTCCTTAAATGTGGGGCAGAAAGGAAATAGCATTCATGCTACTCTTGTACTGGCAGTGAGAAATTCTGTGATTTATCTCACAACTAGTGCAAGACTGGATATGCAACCAGAAGGCTGCCAGGGTGAGGGGAATGTTTACATACCGTAGTTTCACTTCTACTCTGTGTTTAGGCAACAGGATACTAGCCATAACATTTTGTCATGTCTCACCTTACTGGGTCAGCTTCAGAGGAGAGGGAAGATCTCACTGGCAGGGGAATTCAGGGCCACAACAGTCAGCGATTTTCCAGAAGCCTTGGGAAGCAGCATCAAGGACAAGGAAGCATCAATAGATGGAGAGAATGTAAAAGATTTGAGGCCTTTTTGTCCCAGGGAGAGGCACAGGTTGAAGGGATTGGAGTCAAAGCATACCTAGCATTTCAAGGCTGTCTGAGTGCAAATTGGAAACAGCTGGATAGCGAAAGGTGGGCTGGGAGCTATAAATGCTGTGTGTGCTGCCAGCAGATGCTTTGTGGGAGATGGCATGGAAGCTCACCTCTTGTGTGCTATCCATGTTCCTAGTCCAGATACTTAAAGCCTCATAATGATATATTAAATAATATAATTTTGTTATATCTCTTGATCATTTTGGTTGCTCTTTCCTACATGTTTTTCAACCCCACAAAATCTTTTTTGAAGAACAGTGACTAGAACTGTGTAAATTTCTGTATGTGTGTGTGTACCCTATTTGGCATGAGTGTGTGTTTACATGCACACTCACATCCTTTGATCATTCCAAAGTTAGATACGAGGCAGCTTATGTGCTGAATGGGGCAGAGAATATTCTAAAAGACTAATGAATTGTTAATTATTCTACTGCCAGGGATGGAAAGAAGCACTTCTAAGTTTTTATACCTATGTACCCATTTGCTGTTCTGCATTTGGAAACAAAATATCTTGGGCCTTCCCTATGCAAAAGCCATTACCTGGAATTGTCATTATATGAACAATTCAATTCTTTTTTTTTAAAACCCAGTTTGTGAATGTTGGATATTGTGCTCCTGTATCCAGGTTTCAAAACACCATGAAATAGCCCAACATTGCTTCACAATATTATGCCTGCATTATCAGCAAGAAAAAGGATGCCAGGTTTTACATAGTAAAAGGCAGCCTGGAATGTTGACAATACCAATGAGAGCAGTCAAGATGGTCTATAGGATATCCTCTTGTGTTCACTGCATTCACAAAGTAACGCCATGCAAGGGCAAATCCCAGAAGCAATTTAACACTTAAAAATCAGAGAGAGAAAAAGAAACAGCATCCAGGGACTTATTATAGATATTAAAAGCCTACCCGAAGAAGTGGGTCTTCAACTTCCAGTAGAAAGATGAAAGGGGGGGCAGCCTAACCTCCGGAGGGAAAGCATTCTACAACCTGGGAACAGCTACAGAGAAGGCCCTGTCTAAGCTAGATAACACAATGGAATGGGAAACCTTCTTTTGGACATCTCTGCTCAACCAGAATGAAGAAGATGAATTATGGCAGCAGTGGGGTAAGAAAAAATTAAAGGAATATGTGTTGGTGTTGTATTTTGGAAATCACAACTACAAACAGATATGAGTGTGAACAGATACTCTCTGTGTTCCTGCTCTTGCCAGCTTGATGGTATCTATTCTTAAACAAAAGTTGAAGGTATGCATTAAAAACCCTTTACTGTACATAATACAGACCTCAAAGGAAATCTTTATTCACATGACTCGTTTTAAAAGCCCATGCTGACGGTACTGACCCATTCTTGCAAGCCAACGGATGCCTCCCTGCTCTGGTCCAACACACAGGATATGTGAATCGAAATGTTACTAAATGCATACACTGTGAGGACTGGAGCTTTAAACATGTCACTTTTTTGGCCCAAAAGCTCCCAGAATTACACAAAGCACTAGCCGTGTTAGCAGGAGGACTATGAGAACTGAACTCAAACATAATAACTTTTCCAAGCTTTCAGTGGATAAGGACTTTCCCATGTGACATTATTCAGTATTCATCAGGGCTGATTTTGGCTGTTAAGGGAAAGCCAGAACGTAACATGGTGAAGTGTAAGAATAATGTGTTAAATTTCATGAATGTACAACCAGACAGTCATCACAGCAGTTGCATTATACCTTCTCTTGACTACTTCCTCACACAAGAGCACTTTCCATTACATGGATACCAGTCTGCTGTACTTAAATCCATGGTCCCCAACCTTGGGCCTCCAGATGTTCTTGGACTTCAACTCCCAGAAATCCTGGCCAGCAGAGGTAGTGATGAAGTCTTCTGGAAGTTGTAGTCCAAGAACATCTGGAGGCCCAAGGTTGGGGACCACTGCTCTAAAAGACAGGTTGGAAGGCTGCACATGGATTATTATTGTCTAATGCTTCTCATACAGAAGAATGCATAAATAAAGCAAGGAACTCACCTCCAAATTGAATCTTAATTATAAGAATATTCTAGTGTACTAGGGCCAAAATCTTAGTATGAAACACCATGCATTTAAGGGCAAACCATGCACATGCTTTAAACTGTTTTCCTGTGATTTAGCACATGCCTAGGCACATGGCCAAGTGTGCAACCAAGTGTGCAAACCTGACATGTCCAAGCAGGCAGGATGGTACATACATGATCTACATGATTTAGAATATGCAGTGCAATTTCAGCAGGATTCTGGCCTAG